GTTTGGAGTGTACATTGTCTGCTGTTTGATAAAAGTCTAAATTCAGCTTACAAAAAATGATTTAGTGGTGTCAGGATATAGGTTATATAAAACCTGAATGCAAGAACCTATCATAGCATCAGAGTATAGATATATCATATATGTTTAATATTTTAATTAAAATCCATTTTAGGATTTTGTGCCTTGTCAGAACATATTTTTAAAAATTAAGAGTGATTTACTTCCATCCATTCAGTGATAGAGGCGCAGAGTTAGCATGAGGTGAGAGCATTAAATCTGTTGGCTTCTCAACCTCGCATCTTGGACTGAGTTTGAGCCCAAATTTTGGGACAAGATGGCCCTTAATAGTAAGATAGCTGCTTAATCCAATCCTTGATTGCAGAAACAATCTCTTCTACCCCAGAGGAAAACCTAACATTGTTGGAGTTAATGAAAAGGTATGTGATCACAAACATGGCTTTATCTTCCTAAGGGATTAGGAAGATTTCAAAATTTGCTTTATATTTACTTGATTTTTGCATTATATGCCAACTTTTAACATCCTAATCCCCAGATCAGATATGACTATATATATTGTATAGTCAAATAGCATTTTCTGTGAGGGCTGTACAACAGCATGGATATTTTGAGTAAATGCTTCAGAGAGAGATTTGTGGCACAGAAAAGTCTGTTTCTTTTAAGAGTCAGCCAGTGACCCAGGGCCAGTTACACTATTTCTAGTTCAGTTTCCTCCACTGTGAAAGTGAGAGTCTCAGACTGGATGGTGGGTGTCTAAAGTCCCTTCATGCTCTAACTTGTGAAATAGATTGCTGTGCCAAAAGCAAGATGGCGAAAGGAAGACCTGACATTTAGAACAAACTGGAAGTTTGCTTCCCTGTCGCTGACTTCTGAAAAACTAAAGTTCATTTCCATAGTGTGAGAGTGCCAGGGAGAGAGAATTTGATCTGAGCCAAGGATATCAGACAATGCTTCTTAAATCTTCTGTCTTTTCTGATGGTGGCAGAGAGTGAACCTACACCTAGTCCCAAGGGTCTGGGGACCTAGTCCAAAGCCTTAAAAGCATGAAAGCTTTTTGAAGTCTGATGTTTTATCTTTAAAAATTCTTGGAAATTTTGCCTTCCCTGTAATGTATATTTTTTTTTCATTAAAAAGGCTTCCCTCTAAACTATTGAATAAAATGAACTCTTTAAGAAGATGCACCATGTTTATTTATCCTATTTGTTTGCATACCCTTTGCCATACTACCATATGGGGAGATGGAAGTGGGGAAGGAGAGTACAAGTATGCTGAAGTATCTGTGTTCCAGACTTTGTGTGGTTGGAGCTAAAATGGGTATCTTCTCAGGCATATCTGGTTGATAGGAAAGAGAGCCTACTTGCTGTAGATAGGTATATCTGAGCATCTTGGTAGTAAAATGGAAAACATTATTGCTTTAGGATCAGATCTGAGTTTAGACCCACCTCTGGCATTTTCTGACGTGTAATACTGTTTCACTGTGTGTAAAGTAGGAATAATAATACTTGTCTTGGAGAGTGAGATTTATTGCACTGTCCTGTGTTTTGCTTTGGCATGATAGGCACTCAGGTGCTAGCTATTATATCCTTCTTGGTTACTGGTGAATTGGCACATGCTCTTAAATTTTGCATTCATGGGAGCACTAGGTAAGGTCTAGTAGCCACTTATGAATATTTAGTTTGACCTATGGTCTTTGACTAAAAATCATGTTTATGAAACTTGCACATCAGCTTTGACATCTTAACTATATATGTGTATACACACACACACACACATATACACACATATATACACACACACATCATATTGTTTTTACAGATGAAACACATAAATCAAAGTTAACCAAAATGTTAGTAGTGAAATACTTAGATCATTTTTGGTAACAATATCTTTAAAATGGTTGGTATATCAGACTATGGATGTTCTCTAGCATCAAAACAGTGTTAATAAATAATAACCAGCAGTCTAATGATTATTACTGTTTATGGTAATTGTGTTCATAAAACTTAATATATTTTCTACAGTGGCTAAGCCTCTTCTTCTGAGTTACTAGCTTCATTCTTCTTTCTGTGTGGGCTATTGGGAAAGCCTTTGAATTAGGGCTCTGAAGTGATGCATTGTCACTCCTTCCTTCTTTTATATGTACTGTTAACTTTATCCAAAGAGCACAAAGAAATTAGAAATAATCTTATCTGCAAACAGTATTGAAACCTGTTTAACTTGTTCTTACATTTTTCTCCTGGTATTGGAGTTTAGATTCTAGATGAAGATTTTGTTCATGAAAATTGGGAAAATATACTAAGCAAACTTAAAGATGTTTTACTTAGTGAACTGGATCTGAAGTAGTATATAACTTAAAATTAAAATAAAAAAACTTTAATTTTCACTTAACGTTTAATTAGAGACCATTAATTGAAATTTCTAGTGACAGTGAAAGTAGCATAGTTTTTTTTTTTCAGGGTTTCTTTAGTTCCTTTTTTTTTTTTTTAAGTAGGCTCTATGCCCAGTGTGGAGCCCAAGATGGAGCTTAAACTCAAGACCCTGAGATCAAGACCTGAGTTGAGATCAGGAGTCAGACTCCTAACTGACTGAGCCACCCAGGTGCCCCTCAGGGTTTCTTACATCTCTAATTTAAACCAAATGATGAACAAAAATTTTCTGAATGAGAATAATATTGTAAATGAAATACTGTAAACAAGTCATTATTTGTCACATTTCACTGTGACAACCCAAACAGTACTCTTCACTGAAACAACCCAAACAGTACTCTTCACAGAATTAATAATGCAAAAATAATGAAAAGTAGCCTCATTTAAAAGAATAATCTTAAATTGTTGTTCATTCCTTTTGAACCAGATTGCAAAACACTACATTAACATAAAGTAGAAGTTGTTATTTTGATGAACCTTTTTTTTTTTTAAGATTTTATTTATTTATTTGACAGAGAGAGACAAAGCGAGAGAAGGAACACAAGCAGGGGGAGTTGGAGAGGGAGAAGCAGGCTTCCCGCTGACCAGGGAGCCCCATGAGGGGCTGGATCCCAGGACGCTGGGATCATGACCTGAGCCGAAGGCAGACGCTTAACGACTGAGCCACCCAGGAGCCCCTATTTTGATGAACCTTAAGCATAAGACTTGTATATATTACTGCATTTTTTGAAACGGATACCTTTGTGTTTAAGAATGTTTCATATGAGTTTTTCTTTTCATAACTAAAATTAATATAAAAAATAAAAATAAAATTATAGATTTCTCATGGTGGAGAAAAGAAATCACTCCAGAATACAAATTTCCATATGTGTTTAAAGACTTTGAGCTTCTTTAATTTGCATAATTTGAATAGCAGAGACTTGGTTTTGGTTAGGCTTGTGAAGACTAATTAGCCAATACAAGTAGATTCTTATTTCAACATTAACTTAAAAAAATCATTATATAGGCGGTATGAAATAACGGAAAGAATATGAAACCCAAATTCAGAAGAGTTAGGTTCAAATTCTGCCTCTTAATTATTTGTTCTTTAACAAAAATTTAAATATTCTGAGCTTCTTTTCCTTATGTCTACTTTCATAGCAATAATACCTGCTTTGCCTGTTTCACATGTTTGCTATGAAAATCCAATGAGATAACACAAAAAAAAGAAGCATTCAAACAGTAAGATGAGGGGCATCTGGCTGGTTCATTTGGTAGAGCACGCAACTCTTGATCTTGGGGTTGTAAGTTCAAGCCCCATGTTGGGTGTAGAGATTACTTAAAAATAAAATCTTAAAAAAAAAGGTATGGTGAAATTGATCTAAACAAATAATTCCATATACCTCCATCGAAAGTGAGGTTCAATTCTAGAATGTTAGAACTAGCAAGCATCTGGGATTTTCTAGCCAAGTCCTCTTATTTTACAGGTGAAGAAACTAAGACAGGGTTATCCAATAAGCTTTGTAGTGGCAAACTAAGATGCATTTCTCAGGGTGATTAAGGAGATACAGGCTTTGAAATTAGTTGTATAAAGGTGTGAAATCACAATTTTACCATTGACTTAGAATAGCTTCAGGCAATGTAACCTAAGCCTATTTCTTTATCTGTAAATTGGGGCTTAGTATTAACCTAATCTATTGGATTGTTGTAGTTAAGGAGATATGCATATGCAAAATGCTTAGCACACTTATGAACATGATATACACCTAATAAGTGGAGCCTCTAATATTACTATTATTTTTAATTATTGCACAGAATCTTTCAGAACATTATTCACTCCCTGTGCTTAATTTGTTCAAAAAAAAAAATGGCTAATGGCCAAGCTCTCTTTCACTGAAACAACCCAAACAGTACTCTTCGTGTGTCCCCATTGTGCATGTACAAGTATGAGGAAATTCCTTCTGTGTCACACTATTGAAGCCTATTCTAAACAGATTAAAAACATTAAAAAGCTTAAAAATAAAAAGTTGGAAGATCTAATATAAATGAGCATCTGTTGTCTAAGTGATAATTTAATAAAGAACTGAAATAGCTTATGCACTTAAGAAGTATGACTGATGGAGAAGAGCATGTGACTCCTGATCTAAGGGTTGTGAGTTTGAGTCCTACGTTGGGTGTGGAGATTACTTAAATAAATAAATAAACAAACTAACTTAAAAAAAAAAAAGTATGACTGATAGATCTTATGGGATATGAAAGTCATCAGTCACCCTTAGCACTTTCCTTGAAGAAAATGACACAACAGACTTGTTTCATTCAGCCCACAAATGTCTGTATTCCTTTTCTTTTTCCTTGTTAAATATCCCTGTCTATTTTGGTCTATGTAATATATGTTCAACAGAGGCAGGACTGTCTTGTTCATCTAGTATGCTTGGTATGTTGCCTTGAACATGATAGGCACCTAAATGTTGATCTTTTAACAGATTTAGTGGAAGAAAAGTTGTATACAAAATTAAGTATCCATGCAGATATGTCATTTTAAAAGTTAGTTATAGATGTTAACATTTTTAATTTCAGATTTCCTTTTTTTCTGGGGAACTGTATTTTTGATAACAACAACTCTAGTTGCCCTTCTGAAAAAAGAAAACAAAGAAGTATCAGTAGGAAAAGAAGAAACCCAAGGGATCACAGATACTTACAAGTTGCTTTTTGCAATTATAAAAATGCCAGCAGTTCTGACATTTTGCCTTCTGATTCTAACTGCAAAGGTAAGATATTTATAAAACAAATGTACCACCCTGTTATAATTACCAATATCATGGAATACTTCCACTGCCTTTTCATATCATAAGTCCCTTTCCACTACTATTAGAATGTAACAATAAAAAACAGTATTTTCTGTTTATTAAATTTGTTTTAAAAGGTGTGATAATTTCAAAGTAACCGAAATGTCTTGGAATCTTGAAAAGAATTAAGCAAATTTGAAGTACTTCTAATAAATGTGAAATTTTACTTAATGATATTAATGCTTGGGATGGAAATTAATGCCTTGAAAAAAACAGCTCTGTACTGTTGTAATGAGTGTACATTTAATGTCAGAGGTATCATAATTATTTACTTAGAAAGTGATTTACAGACATATGGAAATATTTAAGTTTTAGAAGTCTATTTAAAAGTCAGTTGACTTATTTTTTTTTTAATGTTGGAAGGAAATATACCATAAATAAATGGGGATTTTGGTAACTTTTATGCTTTATGTTTTCTGTATTAAGATGTCCTAGTTTAAAAAAAAAAGTCCTAATTCTATAGTACAAAAACATTTCAAAGATACTATGCTAGAGGAAAGGTAAGTTTATTTTAGTATAGTAAGAGATTGCTAGTGTTGGAATTAGTATTCCTAAAATCTAAAATCCGGGGGCGCCTGGGTGGCTCAGTGGGTTAAGTGTCTGCCTTCAGCTCAGGTCATGATCCCAGCAGGGAGCCTGCTCCTCCCTCTCCCTCTGCCTTTCTGCCTACTTGTGATCTCTCTCTCTGTCAAATAAATAAATAAAATCTTTTTAAAAAAATCTAAAATCCATTATAGGAGTTTCATATTATAGCTCTAAAGCTATCTTTATAAATACTCTACAGCTGTCTTTACCCTGAGGTAAAAATTGGTACAAATTATAGCCTCATTGTTTTTTTGTTTTTGTTTTTGTTTTTTTACGAGCCTCATTGTTTTTGAAATAGTGAATTTTTTTCCTCTCTAATGATAGGGTTACATTTTAAGGAAACATTGGGAAGGTTAAACTTAAGAAACTTAAGATTCAACTTTAGGAAATAATGAAAGGTTCAAGGAAGAGAGTAATATTCTCTAATTACATCATTTAGAGGTAATCATTGGTAACACTTTTGGTATATTTCCTTCCAGCCTTCTTTTTCCCCTTTGTGTGTGCGTGTTACGTGTGTGTGAGTGTGTGTATACACACTTTATATATATAAATATAATTAATAAGTTATAGTCAACAAATTAATATTAATACTATATATTTACATACAGATATGCATGTAAATAAAAGTGGAATTGAATCATACCATATATAATTTTGATCTCATTTTTGTCTTACTACTCCATATTCCTTATCATTAAATAATTTCTGGAAACATACTTTTTAGGGGCACCTGGGTGGCTCAGTCAGTTAAGTGCCCAACTCTTGATTTCACCTCAGGTCTCCATCTCAGGGTCGTGAGTTCAAGTCCCACATTGGGCCCCACACTGGGAGAGGAGCCTACTTAAAAAAGAAAAGATACTTTAATAGCTATGTAATTGTCAGTGTATAGATTTGCTATAATTTACTCATTTTTCTATTGTATATTTGCTTATGTTTTTTAATTATAAAACTGCACTAGTGAATATTTTTGTGTATTTCCTTTCAATAGATTCTTAAATAGGCAATTAGTGGGTCAGTGAATATGATTGCCAAACTGCTTTTTAAAAGATTACAATTATACTGTTGATAGCAATGTATAAGGAGGTGCTTCAGTTACAGAATCTAGAATCTTGTGTTCCCCTTTTAAAGTAAATCTTGCCAAAAGTAACATCTCTCCTAATTTTTAATGTCATAGATTAGTTTTCTCTACTGTTTTTTTTTTTTTTAAGATTTTATTTATTCATTTGAGACACAGAGATAGAGAGAGAGAGAGAGCATGAGCCGGGAGAGTGGCAGAGAGAGAGAGGAAGAAGCAGGCTCCCCGCCGAGCCAGGAGCCCGATGTGGGGCTCCATCCCAGGACCCTGGGATCATGACCTGAGCCAAAGGCAAACGCTTAACCATCTGAGCCACCCAGGCGCCCCTCTACTTTTGAGCTTTGTAATAAATGGAATATCCAGTATGCATTTTTATGTCTGGCTCTTGTATTCTTTCACTTAACATTATATTTGTATAATTTATCCATATTGTTACTTACAGCAATAGTTTGTTCATCTCATTGCTTATAATATTCCACTGTATATACATATGCTATAATTTATCCATTCTATCAACAAATGTTTAGTTATTTCTACTTTTGGACTATTATGAATAGTACTTCTATGAATATTCATGTACATTACTTTTGGTGAACATGAATGCACATTTCTGATGGGAAGAGAATTGCGGGTCATAAGAAATATTTTATTAGGTACTGCCGCACAGTTTTTCAAAAATGGTTGTTTCCCTTTTCCCTACTGCCGACAGTGTAAGAGAGTTCCAATTGCTTCACAGCCTTGAAAGACATATATTGTCCTTTCAAATTTAGCCTTTCTGGTGGGTGTGTAGTGGCATCTCATTGTGGTTATAATTTGCATATCCCTGATGATTAAAGCGGTTGAGCATCTTTTCTTATGGTTATTGGCCGTTTAAATATCCAGAGCTGCCTTTTTTTTTTAATTTGTAGAATTTTTATATATCCTGGCTGTTTTGTGTCTACAAATATCTCCTACTATGGCACTTTTAAGATCAAGTAAATGTTGAAGTCAGTTTGTATATTTAAGTTTTACAAAGAGAATGGGTGAAATAGTAGTGAAATTCTTCTGTGGATTTAAGTAAAATATCATTGGCCTTTAATTTTTCTATGGTGAAATTTGCCCTTTGGCTCCATTCCAAGAAGTTAAAGTACATACTATTACCATTTCTTTTTTTTTTTTTTTTTTAAGATTTTTTTTATTTATTTGACAGAGAGAGAGTGAGAGAAGGAACACAAGCAGGGGGAGTGGGAGAGGGAGAAGCAGACTTCCCGCTGAGCAGGGAGCCCGATGTGGGGCTCTATCCTAGGACCCTGGGATCATGACCTGAGCTGAAGGCAGATGCTTAACGACTGAGCCACCCAGGCGCCCCTATTACCATTTCTTTAAAGAATGTTTTTTAATATAGTTTCACACTTACTGAAAATTTGCTTATATAGTTGAAAGAATTCCCATATATCAAATCTCTAATTGTTAACAGTTAGTTCCACTTTCTGTATTCTTTTTTTTTTTTTTTTTGAGACAGAGAGAATGAGAGAGAGAGAGCGCACATGAGAGAGGGGAGGGTCAGAGGCAGAAGCAGGCTCCCTGCCGAGCAGGGAGCCCGAT